GAAAGCTTGAGCTTTCCAAGTAATCGTCTCTTTTTCCCCCTCTCTGATTTCCCAGGCCATCCTGGAGACCCCAGACAGGCAGCTAACGTTGAATGAAATCTATAACTGGTTCACGCGGATGTTCGCCTACTTCAGGAGGAACACAGCCACCTGGAAGGTAAAGCCGGCTCCGCTCGGGGGCTGCGGGCGAGCGCGGCGGGGAGGGGGGGTCCTGGCGGTCCTGTGCCGCAGCGCTGCCTCCTCGTGCTGCCTTCTGCCTTGTTCTGGCCGTTACGGGAAGCGCTCCACTTTCCAAGGGCACCGGAGTGACTCTGCGCTAAAGGACAGTCTTGGTTCAGATGTTTCACCTTCCCCGTAAGGGACTTTCCATCTCCTGAGGTTAATTCTTCTGGCTGGTGCCACCCGGCTTTGCTTTTCCAGCCCAGTCCGTGGGCTGGACCCGAGCACCCGACCATGCTCTGCTTTGGTGGAGCCGCCGAGATGGGGAGCTGCCTGCCCGGAGACAGTGGCAGGGGTTCTTGCCTCTGCTGTGCCAGCATCCTTCCTCCTCCAAACGTCTCGCCCAGACGTGACCCATCCCAGTTCAAGGTGCAACTCTGAGCAGAGCTCCTGGGGGCATGGCATGATATATTGCAGATAAATTCAAACGTTTTACTCCCAAGATGTGACTCTGGACTTCAGGGAGGTTTGGTCTCAAACAGGGCCATTTGGGAAGGTCTGCGCAGTAGGATACAAAGGCTGCGCGGTAAAAACCCATAGCTTCCTGCAGCCAGGAGCTGGGGCTGGAGCAGAGCCTGCACGTCTCAGCTCCAGGAGAAGGGTAAAAGGGAAAAGTGAGACACTCAAAATAGAAAATAAGGTTAATGATAACCTGGGGGCTGGTGTCACTGCACACAGCAAATAGGAGATGCCCCCGCCAAGCTGTGAAACGCTGGGGCTGGGTCTCAGGAGCAGCCGTAGCTGGTGCTAGGCAGCGGATGCTCATCCGAGAAGAGGGGACGGGGAGAGGAAGGTGGTGGATGAGGGGTGTAGGATACCTCGGGGTATCCTTGGTTTATCTTGATCCATGAAGAGCCTCATTTCTCGCCTTCACCTCCTGTCTACCCCGCACAAGCTTGCAGCAATCCCCTGCAAAGTGCTGTTGCGGCACGCGGAGCAGCGCAGCTCCAGCTTTTCCTCCACCTTCTTGGCATCAGCAGCAGGGACATGTTCATGCCACGGATGGATGGGGGGGGTCAAGGGGCCCCTCTTGGCTTTCCAGGTCCTTTTTGCCGTTCTTTGGAGACCTGGCTGGGTGATGGAGAGTGAAAGCTACTGTTCAACATCTCCCACCTTAGTGCAGGATATTGGGAATATTTCTGTCCCTGAGGACCCATTTACAACCGCTCTGGACAGATGTGCATGAGTCGTCCAGCTTTCTGGGGACAACGCGCCCAGGAGATGTTTCTGTTCTCGTTTATTTAGAAATTACCAAATCTGAGAGGACTGAAAAAACCCCACATCTCAGATGAAAGGGAGAGTTGTGAAAGGAGGAGTTATTTCCCGGACCAGGAAGGATTTGTTTGTTGTTTCCTGCTGCATGCGTTTGCTAAGGCGCAACTTCCGTCAGCTCAGGATAGCGCGAAGCAAAGCGGTAGAGGGGAAACTGCAAGTTTAAAACTGAGAAGCAGAAAAATAAAAACCCGCTTAGGATAAGCACGACGCGAGGAGGGGCTCTGGTGCGTTGGGAAGGCGCAAGGAAGGAACGGCTTATTCCAGAGGCCGGCGTCGCT